AGTTCAGACAGGTATTGAGGTCCCAAGCCATGCAGAGCCTTATAGGTGAGCATGAGGATTTCAAAGTCTACGCGAAATTTGATGGGTGTTGACTGCACGGACGGCACACGATCAAACACAGCAAAACACAACGCGCACAGCGTCATCAAGCCCGAGCAGTGGGACAAAGACCCCAGCCTGTTTTACGCATATTGTGTTCCAATCGCCAGAGCGATAAATGTGCAGCATAATACGACGTGTAGTGAGGAGTTCGTAAACCGGGGCTGAATGCACTCGCACACAGAAATAAGAGCAGGAATCAAAAACGCAGGACACGACTCTGTAATCGAAATGCGTTCCGAGAGCGTGTTGCGACAGCAGCAGCCGAAACCGCGGGGGTACCTCCGAGATGCTGCAGATGTAAGTGCGCCTCAGCTCTGCAAAGCGACTCAGGTCCAGCTCCTCCATCCCGCCGCTTCCCGCCGCTGACTCTGCGCCGCTGAGGGACCGTCTGCAAACTCCGCCCGGCGAAACGAAGACCACGGCTTCAGACAGGGCTCATTCCGAGACACGACGGGAATAAATACCTGTGATTCATGTATCAATCGATTTCTGCCTGGAAACGTTTGAGTCGGTTATTCTGTGTTTCAATACACTCAGTTTTAAGGAAGAGCGATGAATGTTTATCTGCGCTGGAGCCACATTGTAATTGAAGGAAGCACCCTGAGAGGCGGAACTTCCCTCTCACATTGTAAACAAACACATCTATTGGTCAATAACATGTCAATCACAGACTTTACCCAGAGATCGCCGTCGTTGATTGGACGACGGGAGACCAGTAAATTAATAAGAATACCGTAATACTTGAAAAGGGAAAACGAGATTCACACGCAGTGTGGGACATATCCGCAATTTATTTTACTGAGGGAACTCAAGTTCACGAGAGCTGAAGATTGCGAGGGGACCCGATTCACAATTCTCAAAGTTACCTAGTCAGCCTAGCGGACTGTTTCAAAATAAACAGTAAAACACCAACCGGAGGAAATATATAGGAAAAAAAAACTACGGGGAGGCGCATTTTAAACCAGGAAGAGGAAGTACATGTTTACACAAAGGGTGGTGGGAGCGGGAACAAGCTGTTTACCCATGTTGCTGAAGCAGGTTCACACCCTTCACACCCAGCTGACACACTGACCCTGCAGAACCACGACTGGACACCCTGCAGACACACTGACCCCTCAGGACCAGGGCTGGACACCCTGCAGACACACTGACCCCCCAGGGCCTGCACTGGACACCCCGCAGACACACTGACCCCCCAGGACCA